ACTTATCATTTTGTAAGGTTTTTTAACTAAAATTCTCTTACATGTCACCAACTCCCCCCTTCGTTATCCATGATATAAAAGAAATCATTCAATATATTTAGTTGAAATAAGATTGACGATTTTGTTAAACATCAGTGAGCGATGAAGTAAACTCGGAATGTTTTTACTACTGTATACAAGTTGATTTCATTCAGAATTAGACCAACAAATTATTTCTACTACATTTGGAACTTTTTCATCATGGCCTTTTAATTTACTCTTTCATGACTATTGTGGATACTCAGTAATGGTCAATAATAAATTATGATACATTTATCTATGAATATAATAACCAATGATGGCAACCCAATGATCGCTGCAATCACTGTTCAGATTGAATGAATTACTTTCCAAATTTACTAAGCCTAACACTCTGTTACATATAAAATAATAAAATATGCATAATTTTCAGTGTTGTGGATTGATTGAGGTTGAGCACAGACATCGTCGGATGCCGGCAGAGAGTTTAAAATGCTAACAGTGAAATGCAGTGCACGCGATTCGAATAATGTGGGCTCCTACAGTTAGATGTACGTACATCCCAGTGTTATTAGTCATTCCTTTGTGTAAAGACAGTTCCGTACACTTCAAATAATATAATCATTATATCATTTCAATAAGTTCTAACCAACTTTCAATGGTATAGAATTTACATAAGCAATAAATACCAGAGGTTGATATTTTAGAACAAGCTGGTTATATGAAGTCTGGAGAATCAATGCGAACGGTGCATTTCAAAGCACTTATTTAACCAGATTTCTTCATCTATAATGCAATTTACCTACCAGTAATCCGATCGGTGTCTTCTCTACACTCGAATGTAAACTCTTGAAGAAATAAGAAATTATTGGTATTAGAGGGCAAAGCAGTTCTAGCATTTCCTGCTTTTGTGTAGCAAACATAAGGTGTATTAATTACACTGCATGTCAACACTAACAATGTTTCCGGATATATTTGAGTTGTTACCAACTCATTGATCATCCAGTAACTACCAGTATTCCCTCAGTGTGGAAACACACAACAATCGATTCTATGTACTGAGAAGTGTAGGAATGGCATACAATACAGTGAATAGGAATATTTCATGTTCGACTGACAGAAGGGAGAAAATTCCTTATCATCAATTCAGACTAATAACCTATTATTCTTATCAGTGTCACTCTACTGACCAGTCACACTCCTCGTTCACCATGTAAATTCAGTTTGAATGTTATAGGACAAGTGGGAAAAATTCAACATCTAGTCCTTATCACGTTCAACGCTAATGAATACCACATACTGAGTGCTTGAGAATATTTGAGAACACATAGAACAGACACATTACTCTGGATTAAGGCCACAAGTGTCTGACTGTCCGATTGTTTCGACAGACACGAGTGATTAGTCTGTCCACAGATAGCACTCACTGACAAAAATTATACAAGATGTTTGGAAATCACATTTCAAAACTAAGTTTAAATGTTCGCTACTAGACTATCAGGCAACAAACTGGAATATATTGAAATTGGAGTTGTCTGCAAAATATACCAGGATTGAATGACCGATTGGTGCATACTACAGAAGTTTGGATGATTATGCACTATTCGTTTCGTCCATCGGACTATCATTACTTCTAACAATCAAACAGAATCATATTAAATACGAAAACTCAAGTGTAAGATTTGTAGAACTTGATCATCATGGAACAATGATATATTTATTAATAGAAAACTAGAAATAACACATCGATTGTTCCTTCATCATACATTCTAAAGCAGTGAAGCAATCAGGTCCAATATGATTCCACCCTGATCAGCTTGCGGCTTTACTGCTGATCCGTTTGTCGACGACGTCTTCCTACCCTGTCCTAATCGTCTCCCTAAATGAAAACAAAAATAATAATTTACGAATTCACAAAGTACAATGATAAAATATTTTGATGAGCACGATTCATGAAACCAAAATACTGGTTACATGAGAGAAAATGATACAATCAAAATATAATAACGATTCTTCGACAAATTGAGTTGTGTGAATCATACCTGGTTTCTGCAGCTTTCCACTTGGTTTGGAAATTTTCTTTGATGCTACACTTTTTGGTGTAGTGGCATCATCTAGAAGGAACGAATTAGTGTAAATTCACACATCGTGATTCACCTTTTGTGTCAGCTTCGATCTCGTTTAGTATCGTGTATAAACACATGCAAATGAAGAGTACCTATATTTCGCAAATAGTGTTATGCATTCAATCACTTCTCACCTTGATTGCGTTCATTGTTTATATACATGAATGCAGTGAAGTGAGAACAGGAACGAATGAATTGGAGCAGATTGGCACGTGTCCATCGATTTGTTGGCAATAAACTGTCAGCTGTCACACAATATTATGGTCATGTGTTCCAATCGATTTCTACTGTGGTCGAAATAAGGAACTGTAGCTTCCATAGTAGGTGTCAAAGTGGATAAGTTAGTGGATTGGAAATTTCAGATACGGATTGATATTGATATTCTGTATTGTGCTTTGTCTATAAACGTGTCACTGATATTCGATAGCAAAATACATCATTCGAGTCACGTTTGATATTTGTAGTGAGTGTTCATGTGGTGAGTATGAGTCCACGTTGGAAAGTCACTGCGTCGTTAGTCGGATGACGAGAATGTCATCCATCTGTGATAAGATGAGCCGCGCATTTACATCCTAAATTAAATCAGATAATTTGTCACACGCCGTTATAATGTCAATTCACAATTTACCGATGTTGCTTCTCACGACTTAACATTCACGCGTTAATGTTTTCTCAAAGTTACAGTTTCGTAAAACGTCGTCTATTATCACTTTTCAATTCAGAAACTTGTATTCATATGAAAATTCTGACTTCAGTGTAGAATGTCAAATATTTTCTCTATCTATATAAGTGATATCGATTTTCCATTCATTATTATTCACATAATGATGAATTGAAATATAGATAGTGCAGACTGAATGGTGAATTCTGAATTTGTATTGATGTGTTGTTATCATATGCGAGCACACTGCACTTCTTCAAATTCAGTTGAGTGAACTGAAATATTCGACACTATTTTGACATACTGAATCGTACCTCAATCTGATGCAATAATAACATAAATTGAGAGAGACTAATTTCATGGTATGATGACTTGAATGATGTATTTCCCTAGTGAATATCAGTGACACGACAATAGTCAAAACACAAAACATAATATTAATGTTATTCAGTATTTGACAAATTATCTGATCAAGAATTATCGTGGACAGTCAGGATTCAGTGAGAACTATGTATGTATGTGAGTTGAGACACACACAGTTTGAAATTGAATACAACAGTTAGTGAACACAACGGTTGAACCACATGGAAACAACAAGAATTGCAAGAAGTGAAAAATTATGCTTTCCAATACCAATAGTTTGTTCTCATCTTGTTCACAGTTTACATACAAGTGTAGAGGAGACGGCGGTTGGATGAGTGGTCAGTGAATTGAATCATAGAAGAAGAAATCTGATTAAGTCTGTACTTTGAAAGGCATCAGCTGCATTGATTTCCTAGACTTCAGTTATCTTGCTTAATTTAGGATGTCAATGTATGTCTTATTTTATCAGAGATGGATGACATTCTCGTCATCCGACTAACGATTCAGTAACTTTGCAACGTAGATTTGTAATCACTTCAATTTATTGGAGATTTCATTATTATATTTTGGTTGTATCGTTTTCTCGTGTGTAATGAGTGTTTTGGTTTCATGAATCGTTTTCATCAAAATGGGTTACCATTGCATTTTGTGAATTCGTAGATTATTATTTTCGTCTTCATTTATGAAGATCATTAGCAATGGTTATGAATAAGTGTCGACAAACCAACCAGTAGAAGCGATCGAAATTGAGAAAGCGAAATCTGATCAGAGTGGGATCATACTGGGCCTGATCGGTGCACTGCTTCAGATGTATGATGTAGGATTAATTTATGTGTAATTTGCTTTATTCGAATAATGAACGCATCGTCTTTCCATGAGTTTGGTCTTCTTATTCAGAGGTTTTGATATTGAATATAGCTGAAATTTTTTAAAGATGTTTCCTTTGATTATTTTCCCGAATCAATTCAAATTTCCTTAAATGTATGTTTCTCTCATTTTGTGTCAAGATTTTTTTATTATTATGTCTTTTTTGGCCGTTGATACTCTCTGAATTTGCCTCTATTACTTCTTATGAATGTCACTACATCTTAATCTGTTTAACTAATCTCTCTTATTTAAATACTCTAAACACTTGTCTTATAGCAGCTAATCAAATATTATACAGTTTCATGTAAGTGATATAGATTTTAGAATTAAAATAATCATGTATTCCATCGTACGGAATATTCAAATAATGTTAAATTTATTATATTGACAAATCAAACATGTACATGGTGGTCCAGCTTCAATTGACTCATGATAAAATATTTATATTATTACTTACATTTAGACATCATATTTATTTATCAGTTACTATTCAACCTTATTTTTATATTATTATTATTATGTTACTTTTTAATGTTAATATAGTTGCACATTGCTAATGTGAAACGACCACCACCCAATTATTCATAGTAATAACAATGCAAAGAGCAAAAAATAAATAAAAAAAATGATTCCCATTCCCTAACTTCAATCAATTAATTGATAAAATAAAAAAAAAACATTTTTTTTCTTTTAAATATCCGTTTCATCTTAATTATTTAAAGGAGAAAAATTTTTTTATTATTTTTTTTGTTTTTTCGTTTTTTTCTTTTTTTTGTTTTTTTCATCAAATAACAAATATAAAAATGTATTTCATATTGTACATCATAAATACTACAATTAAAGTGCATAATGATGCTTCATTTTTACATAGAAAATGATTATTTATCTCTTTCAAGTGTATTTATTTGTTACAATCATGGTATGCTTTCTCTCTATTCAGTAAAGTACAATACAATACAATAAAGAATGAATTGGCTTCATGTATATTTCTTTATTGTTTTATTTTATTCATCAATCTATTGTAAAAAAGAGTATAATACTTATGAAACTGATGAAGAAGAAGATAATAAACGATTTAATATTTAGATAAATCATTAAAAGAAGATATGATGAATGAAGATGGTTCATATTATGGTTCAAATGATAATGAAGGACAATCTGATAATACAGAAAATAATTATAAAGAAAATAATTCAGGTAATTCTGATTCGAATGAATCAGAAAAATATTCTGATAATGAGAATTATGGTTCAACTTATCAAAATGATTATGATTCCAATTCTAATGATGAGGATAATAATAATAATAATAATGATAATGGTGATGGTAATAATGGGTAATAATAATGATGATTATACTAGTAGCAATAATAATATTATAATTTTGAAGTATAATGTTTAGAAATCTTTTATAATAATTAGCTGAAACACCACTAAAATACAATTTAAATTTGGACAGATTGTAGAACTTTCATGGTTTAAATCACGTAGTAGTAGTAGTACTATGAGCTAAATAAAACCACCATTTAAATCCTGGAAGCGCTGAACAGCCGTTTCATGCTAATAGATATAAAAATAACAAACACTTGTTGAAGAAATACTCTTCTGATGAATCAGATGACACTAGTTATAATGATGATTACAATAAACCAAATCGTGACAATCGTTACAATAATAATAATGGTGAGGGGAATTCGGATGACTACAATGAATATAAGAGTAAAACGAAGAGACGACCACGAAAAAATAAATACAGGAGAGAATCAGATGAAACAGACGAAACTGATGCTAATAATGATGATTCATATAAAAAATATTCAACAAGTTATACACGGGATAAATATCCATCAAGGAAAAAAAAACCTTATGGTAAACGTAACGAATACTATAACAATGCTGATGGTTATAATGACGAGGATGAGGATGATGGTAAAAATAAAGAAAACTATGATAATTATAAGAAAAAAACTAAAAAACCAACTAGACGAAGGAAAAAGTATACAACGAATAATGATGATTATGGTAATGAGGATAATGATAATGGGGAAAATGAATATCGAAGAAAATATAAGCCAGTCTAAAAAAAAAAGGACCCCAAAGAAAACTAACTATAGACGTAAAAACTACGAGTCAGATACCGAAGAGTATGTTCCACAGAAGAGAAGTCGTAAAAAGAATTCTTATAAACGTAAATATGATAATGACAATGGAAAAGATAATGGTAATGATGATAATTATTATTAAGCAAATGATAGCAGACAGTAATAAATCAGATATCATAATAACAGATTTAGTATTAAAAATGATCTTTTGATCAAAATGATAAGTAATTACTTCCAGTTTGTTTTTCTTGTTGTTGTTGTTGATAAGAGCAGCGTAGTAAAGACCTTTTACTCCAGGACATATTCAATTCAATATACTCTAAGCAAATTAATAAAACTATTATGTAACAGTATTCATCAACTGATGTACACTTTTTAATGTTACCCAGTAATCATGTTATAAATTTGAGATGGGAGGAAAGCAATAGATAATAATAATAATAATTACTCGTCTGTTTTGTTTCAATAGGAGTTAATAGTTAATACTACCTCGTCTTCATTTGATACTGGTTGACAATACACACTGAAGTAAATATCAGTATGTATATAGGTAATAAGTACTCTACTCACAGTTTTCTAGGTTATTATACATGTATATATGAACTGTATTCAAGCTTCAATTGTTCTTGTGTACATAAATAAATGAGTTTCAGATTGTATTTGACTAGAAATATGAACTTCACTAATTATTTATTGATTGTTTCTATTAGTCATTCACTTACAGATATTTAAGATCTCTAAATTAAAGGAAGAGTTAGGAAATTAGTTTGCGGTATTACAATTACAATAGTTATTCAGGCGAGACTCTAATTTATGGACGACTTTTGAACGAGTCTTAAGTGACCTTGAGAAATATTAGTCAGTCAGCACACAGTCAGTATAGGGAAAAAATATATTAAATCAAGGAAATAAAGTGGATACACTTCTTATACGTGGTTCAAAAACTTGTCAAGGTTATAAAGATGTTCAGAGATTCTGAAATCGTAATGCATGCAGAAGAGGAAGTCATCCATATGGCTACAGAATAGTCGGCCTCAGAAGCCATGATAAAGTCTTAAAAACTCTTTCAGCCTCGACCACATAGTTTCAATATTGTTTATGTGCACTCCGGTTGTGGAGTACACAAAATGCTACTTTTGGATAACGACACGATGCACATAACCAAGCCTATGTAGGAGTCTGTACGCTTTCCAATCATTCGTATATATTATAGTACCTGGCTGCAGCTAGTGTTACTGGTGCTTTTATTATCCAGTTCGTAATCATTGCCATAATTTGCCTTAGTTAGGAATTATACATGGGGTTTTCATCACGAACTGACATCAGCTATAATGCCAGAAATTTATTTAGCCACATGGATGAAAGACTTTCGCGTTAAAACCCGAGAATTATTATCTTATACCTGATTGATTCGTCCACAAATTATAGTCTCGCTGTTTTATTTGTTATAGCCTCTCAGTTGTCACGTTTTGTACAAGATTCCTTGTGAACCGATCGTACGTTGGCCTTAAGCACTGAAGTTGGCGCCGTAACCTTGAAATCTCTAAAACGCTTCTGACTGACTCGTCCACAAATTAGAGTATCGCCGTTATTCAAACGTTAGAAATATTATAAAGGAGAATCTCACTGATTAAATTTGAATAGACTATTTGATAAGCACATACTTTCTGATAAAACAAAAAAAATGGTGCGATAGATTTGGAAATGATTTGAAATGCCTGACATGTTGTTGAGAAATAAAGAAGAAGTAAAGGATTAGTGTGAACTTAAAGATCTTCATGAGCTTTCTATACGGATGGTTATACAGTGTTTGTCTGCTTTTTTTCTAAAAACTAATCTCAACTAGAACGTGATCATCTTTAATATTCCATTCGAAATATTTGCTGAATTAACTTAAATCCTAATCACCATAAATATTATTTGCTAGTGGTTATTTATTCTCTAAAGAAGTGGCTTACACTAAGTCGCGAAACGTCGAAAAATTTAATATTTCTAGTTATTAAGATAATACAAATATATTATTTATTTATCTGTTAGTGGGTTTTCCTTAAAATATTAAAGCAGTGAAGACATAAGAAAAGATGGATAGTGGCTATCAGTGGAATACAGGACTCATATTTCATCCTATTTAAAACTCGTCAGCTGGATATACCTGTAGGATATCATTCTATCCAACAACAGCTTAAAAACTACTAGTATGTTACTAATATTTATAGGTAAATTACTTAGTTTACGTATACATTATTCAAAAATCATTTAATCATGACTAAGAAATTGCATCACAGTAGATTACATAAAAAGATTATTGTTTAGAGTGAATAAGGTGAAGTTGTTAGTTGTCGTTTCTAGTTAAATATAAATTTATTATCAGCCATCATACTTAGTCGATCAATCAAAACGTTCAAAAAAATATATTGGAAAACTGTACTTTAATTTGTTGAAAAATCCCGAAATTCTGAATTTGAATTTAAACTGCGTTCTCAGTGATAGTGTAACAATGTTGAGAGTAGTGAGTCAATTTCTCACTTCATGAAACTATCTATTTTTATTCTAGAATTCTTTAGTTGAAAAATTATTGATAATTATTATTATCAAAAAGGGTTTTTGTAGATATTATAGTATTTTACTAATTGAGTTCATGTGTCAATTAAAACTAGACAATCATAGAAAATCTGGAAGCACTGGAAGGCCGTTTTATCCTAGTGTGGGACTACATATCAGTGCATATCCACGATCCTGACCCGCTAGGTTCGAACCCGGAACCTATCGGTCTCGCTCGTGAACGCATACAACGGTGTTAATATCTAACTTTAACTAATCCACGAAATTCAGCTACCGTCCACCACTGTCTTCAGTGGGTTACTATCTCACAATAAATAAAGTATATCATGTATTACGACTACTAATTTGCCTAACGTTACTCGAATGTGACAGTCGTAATTGCACTATTAGAGATCGTACGTATTTTGACGACAGATATAAAGAAACTGTCGAAACCATAATCCCAACCAGTCTTACTGGATCCACTTCTTTTATTGTTTGCACAGCCTTTTCTTCATATTTGGATTCCTGTGCTTTATGAATAATCAATGTAAAAGTAAAAACAAAACGAAAAACAACTGTAAGTATTGACTGTTTATACTTATAAGATTGAGCCAAAAATTAGTATAGAATAGATGGAATGTGCAGAAGTGAGCGGCTTTATGAACTCAGTATCTAAGTTTTCGAAGTAGACGGTACAGTACCAGGTCCCAGGTCGGTGCAAAATGTCAACTGCGAGATGCAGACACATCCGGTTGACGAGTCCCAAATAGGACAAAACCTGAGTCCTGGATTCTATTGTTTTACTTTTAATTCCTATTCTAAGGTAAAATTGACTATGTAAACCTACATGATGAGCTGGTACAAAATTGTGTCACTATATATTTTGCACTTGTAACTCGTCAATTGTACACTGAGTTATGTTAATCTTGATAATGCAATAATAATATGAATACTTTTTAAAAAATAAAAATATCCTATGTACACCCCCTACATTTACAGTGTGAATTGTATAACATTGATTAAGAAAATTCCATCTATCAGAAAAAAAGAGAAAAAGAAAAAAAGAAAGGCAAACGACATACTAGATGGTGTATTAAGTAATATAGAACTTGCTCATTATGAATAACAGAAGATATAACTATCAAATTGTGAAGAAAACTTTTTAATCATTAATAAACATTTCAGCTTAACAGTTTATACATTAAAAGAAAACAATTTAATCTGATTTATTTCATTCACTTAGTATTGTTTACTTGAATCTTCACAGTGATGTTTAACACTGAATTTGATTAGTCTCTTAATAGTATATGTGCATATTGTGTGTACTATCTCGATATTTCCTTAATTCACAAGCATTCTAAACAAATATGGATAGTGGCTAGCAGTGGAATCCAGGAAGCGCGTTTCGTCCTATTTGGGGCTCGTCAGCCGGATGTATCTGCATTTGAGTTGATGTTATATATGAGTATACTCTTTATTTAAATTAGTTAGAGGATTAAAATACAAGTTTGGATTTCATATAGAATAATTCACGAATGAAAGGGGATTAAATCTGTGAATCCTGAGGGATCACCATATTGACTCCGACAAACATGGATACTAATCTTTGATGGATCGCCAACGTACAATTTGTCTTGATTTTAATGACTTTCACAGATCTTTGAAGATTCAGCCAAACACTCGACAAATTCTCAACACAACTAATCAAGCAAATTAAGCTTTATATTTCATATAACAACGACGAACTCATGATATCCTTCGACGTAACAGCACTATTCTACCTCATGGTTATAAAAATCCAGATCATATGTTTATAACATTATAGTTTAAAGACTTTCTGGACGCTGCTAGACAAGCACGTCTTACGTTTGACTCATTATTAAGTCTTAGCTAACAGTTATAAAGGTTCTGAAAACTAGAAGGAGATAAATTCTCTATGATATTACGTTATTTGACTGATCAGTTTGTGAAAATCTGGAAAATTTACTGATTGAAATTCTAAGAAAGAAGTAACTACATAAGACATGAAAATATTTGTACACTAGTCAGTGTTCATTAGATTACAGATTCATTTGTTAAAGTTTGGGCTTTGTGATATTTTTAATTGATTTTAACCAGTTACTTAAATTTTTTTAAGTAGTTAACTTTAACTCTAATTTAAGATAGAAATCAGTTTTACGTGAATGAATCGGAGTGAACTGTCAAAGGTTTAGTATCTCTCATTGTGCACGTACTATTGATATTAACAATTTTTCTTAGGCAGATTTGATGTAACGAGATCTTAGTTAGAGATGTAGTAGATAATCCAAATTTTATCAACCAAAACAACTGCGTACACACATTGTTCAAGAGGGCGAGGACACACTGCAGCACACTGGCAGCACGAAGAAATGAAGAGAAATACCTGAAGGACATATTTCAAAAGAACGGCTACC